ATGAAAAATACGACTGGCTCGTCGAACATATTCACAATAGTGCGCTAGAAAAGCAGAGACTCTATAGGGAGCCAAGTGGCGTCACCTTTTAAAGACTCTCCAACTGATATGCCTGCATGGAATCACGGAAGATAGAAGCAATTTCCAGCAAACGTTCGAACTTTCCAAGCAATGCAGAAAACGATGAAGGAAGATCTCATATAGGGAGCAGTGGTTCTAGCGGCTGCCGCAGATACCGTAATTTGCAAGTACTGCTGGGACTTTACCAGTGACAAGACCAAAATAACTTCCTTTCGTCGCCCTGACAGAGAAGTTACTGCATTCCGAGGAGCAATTGGGCAATGGAGAGCTACTTTAGTCTACTACTACAATCCCGAACACTTTAAGAGCTGCGTCTACTTGCTTACTCCCTCTTAGTTAAGAAAGTTATGTATGCCCTTCATTCGGTTGTAAACGATAATGGCAACCACCACCCATTGTTGTCTGTAAATCTGCACTTTTCATTGGCAACATCCTCGACAGGTCTGGCAGAATATTAGATGAGGGACAGCCATGCGAGCAATAGCGATTTCGGAGAGGGTTCAGCTTCAATTAAACCACACTCTTACAAGACTCATTAGAGCATCGCGAGAGTACAGGATGCCGTTATGTCTTTCATTGGAAAGAAGAAAGCATTTCATACCGTCGAGACAAAAACGATAATTGAAGCCCTGTGTAGCTATGGTTTTTTTACTCATGGTATGAACGCTTCGTAACTGTACTACAACTCGACGACACAATTCTATAAGGAGTCAACCTAAAGAGGGGGGTTCGACAAGACAATACCAACTCCCTCAAACTTTCAGTGCCACATCATGTGTCATTTGGGAATGGAAGGTATGGGATTGAAGGTCGACGGCCACTACTTACATCATCTTCGCTTTGCGGGCGACATCGTGCTTGTAAGACTCAACATCGAGCAGACAGAATGAATGCTAGCCGAATTCGGCAGCGCTTGAGGAAAGGTCGGCTTAGGAGTGAGATTGACGAAGACGATGCTTCGAGGAACGATTTGCACTCTATGTTCCTTTCATGCTAAGCGGTGTATCTAGATGAATACAACATGATAAACGATCTAGCTCCGGAACTGAGCAGAAGTGAATGCGCGACGTGGGGAGCATCTAAGACTATGAAGGGAGTAGTGAAGAAGGCAAAGAACATGGCTTTCTTTCTTTCCCACTTTCTCGACACTGCGGCTCTTCCTGCTTTGGCGTACGCCTTGGACACTTGGGCTCTTCGTAAGCAGGATGAATATGCAGGCAGCGTTCAGTGCGCTTCGGAAAGGACGCTGCTCGGAATTTTCTCGTTTACGCTAGTGCAAAAGAGAATGAGAACTTTCAAGCTCCGTCAACGAACGAAGTTCAGGGATGCCATTGCTACGCTAGGAGATCAAAGATCAATTGGGCAGGACCCGTATGCGGTTTTGTGTTGAACGCTGTACCAGAGCGATTACTGACTGGATCCCTTGACACGTTAAGCCTTTGAAGACAATGCGGATTTCGAAGTGATGCGCCCATGGTACCACGCTCCCCTCGCTCCCCTCGCGACTGGCACCCACTGTCCCAGGAGGAAATTCTTTTCCTGGTTTACTGTACTTAGCAATTGGCAGGAAATAAAAAGTATGGTGGCACTCAAAATTGGGTGCCAGTGTCCCATGCGCCAGTCATAGTGGCACCTACCGACGGGTGCCATTGTCGTCAAAAGGTTAAACGAGCACCAGTGCGGTCGCCAGCGTGATAATCAGACTGCTTCACTACAGTTCTGGACAAAAGGAATGCTGTGCCTCGTGTCCCTCGAGAGAGGACGGTCCGCTGCTCTCTTTGGCATTGGGCGCGAAAGTAGGCTTTATTTGCGATCGCTTGAGGAAAACGGTGATCATGGGGAGACAGGTATAGGTGATCCTCTCAAAGATACTATTTTGTGTTGCTCATTTAGTTCCATCACGTAAAAGTGAGACATGGCGGGCTGTTTAAAAGCGATGGCGTTGTTGTACACATCGTCTTCTTTAGACCGAGAGAGGGGTGCTCATTCCTTGGAAACGATGTCTTTAGAACAGCGTCACCACTCTTCAGTCAGCCCGTGAATAATTCACACCTCACATCTCACTAGCAAAAAGGAAAGTTAATTATGCCACTGTTGTCTATAAGTTGGAAAAAAGAGGAAGGTTCTCATGGCTGTCCCAGTTAAAGGCAAAAGGAAGCGGAATAGCTCACCCTTGATTAGGTGCGTTACTACGGTAGGATCCTCTGATGAGAGTTTGCTCAACAAGTGCCATGGGTCGGATGCGCCGTTGGAAATCACGGCATTTGTACCCTGAAAGATCGAATATCGGTTGGAGGATTTCTTTTTTTTTTAAATACCAGAGTCATGTCTGAATTTCTTCTTACTTCACATTATAGAACTACATATATTCGATTCGTTTTTGGAATGAGACTCGCGCAATAAGTATGTGGTATCGGGCCTTCTCGGTGATCGTTGCCGACCATGTAAAAAGTCTCAGTGTCGTATTTGACGCTCGATTTCGTCTATCAACTTGTTTCTCGAATTTTGCGGTCATGCATCATGCCTTCACTACCTTCCAAGCGTTTTGTCTGATGAAGATCACTAAGCTGACAAGCGCCTTTCCCTAATCCTGTCAAAATTATGTTTGGAATTGTATTTAACACCTCCGAACGATTTGTTTTTCTGGTATGGTCCTATTATATAGAAAAACTTCCTGCGTTGTGTCTACTCATCCATCCACATTTGGAAACGTTATCTTGGTTTCGGCCCATATATACTGTAGCTGAAATGGCTCGTGCATCTATCTCCCTTTCTGATTATATTTTTGGAGGTAATGTTTAGTTTTATTTGTGATTGGCTGGGTAATAATGCTGACGTCGAGTTTCAATTATTGAACAAATCTCATCCTCCTTCTGGGCGGTTTCGACTCCGCTGTAGGTACTAAAACGCTATTTTGAAGCGAAGCAGATATCTCCTGGCGACTCAATCCGTGCGCAAAATGAAAATTACTATAAACGATCATTACGGAAGATCTTTCCCTTTTCAAGGAATTCCTTTTCATCTCGATATGGGCATCTCTTTTGGTCGATCTAATAAACTGAATGCTCACGTTGTATCCATCAGCACCACCATAGTACTGCACAGTTTTCTCAACAGCCTTCTCAATATATTCGGCATTGAACTCCTCACCAAACACTTGACATAGGTCAGCATAGAAACTGTAAATTAACTGATTTGTTTACTTCCTTGAGCAATCTCTTATCTCTTAACCCACTACTAAAATGGGGATTAATGTAGGCATTAAAGACGAAGATGTATCTCTCCACTCACTCTATCGAAACAACTGAACCAAAGATGTTATTTACGTCGCCGTCAGTTGTAGGGAACGAACCCAACTCCGTACACCTCTGCCATAATGTCGCACGATCAATGGCTGGAATTATCGAAACGAATTCATTCATTTATACTGGTGAATTTGAAGCCATCCAGAATTTAAGGCCGTAACGACAAGCCCATAAGCAGGTTGCTGTTCAGTATCCTTCTTTGTCAGTGTTGGATTAATGGTTACATGGGATGTACATGCAGAACATTGCGTAATCATGCGTTTTACGTTCATCTTGACTTCCGGTCGTTTTTAAACCGTCAGATTGTCATACCCAAAGCCTTGTCACTTGCCGTTCGTTGTCGAATAATCCAACTTGTCTGTGTAGTACATAGCAGAAGCTTGGTCATGGTCACATCCCACAGAGCGTTGCCATGTGGGATGTGACCATGACCAAGCTTTTTGCTGCACGCAATTGCCCCTGTTAAGTTCTATATCACGCTGAGGGAGGGGAGCACACAGTAATCGCTCTCTTCATTCCTTTCACTTCAGTGCTCTCAAGCTGGCTCTATGGGGCAAAGCTGGTGTGACAAGAATTGTAGTTTTTCCGGTCAAAACGCTACTGGATCCGGACGAATGTTCTAGTTTTTGGAGGATACACAGAGCGCTGATCTTTCGCGGTATCGTTGAAATGTTCGGAGAATCTCGAAGTAGTAGCTTTATGGTGTAAGTGGTAGGGCAGGGAAATCAGTTCATAGCTTGTGATCCAGAAATGTTCCTAAGATTCCCGCTTCTGTGACGGGTAACCAGCTGGGGATGGAGAAACCATTCTTCTTAACTCTAAAGTGAGACTAGATCTCTTGTGATGTCTGCTGTATTTTACAATCAGTTTGGAAACACAGCCAACCTCTTTTTTAGTAATTCAAAATACCAAATGATACCAATAGTCAAAAACACAACTCACAGGCCCAACCCTCCTCATCAAAATCTTTCTTGAGAAGGTATTTCATCAGAGCATCGAGATCCACTGGTGTGTTTTTTTGCATTTCGCTCAAGTACCTGCTTTGCAGAACTAAACAAAGTTGAAGAAGTAAATGATCTCTCAAGCTCATCGCCTGCTGAAATTATAG